ATTAGCAACGTGCCAAATACGATTCTCTCATACACTTTCCTTGATTGTAGAAGCGAAGTTTACTGGCGCAATACTGCAAAATGGTACTACACGGCGTCTTCCCTATAAAGGATGCCGCGTTTGTTTTGCGGTATTACTGCGAGGTTAGCTGACATTTTCAAACTCTTTCATGAAATTAACCATTAGTTTCTTGAATGTTTTCTCTCTCAGTTCTACTCGGACTTTGGTGATATTCTGAAGCAGTTGCTATACAAATGCCGCGATCTCAATTTTGTTGCTTGTGCGAAAGCAGTTACGAGGGCCCTTACAGATGTTTATGAAAGCATCAGGGTAAGAAATAATATATCAATGTATTTTTCCTTCACCCCATCGATTTAGATGAACACTGGTCTTGAATTTGTTGATCCCCTCTCCGATGCATTCCATCAACTGCGAGATCTGGCTAAACGATTCGCTGTAGCGTTCGGTAATGACCATTTGAAGAATCGCGAAGCCGTAGCTGTGGTGCACAGGTAAATAACTGACAATGGTTTGAAACAGCGATCTAAACATAATTGTTTGTTTGTGATGATCTATCCATTCCCAATTTCTAGGGACGGTATTCAATTTGCGTTGATGGGTTATGACCCTAATCGCAGAGAAGGTGCAAATAAGCCTATCAACATCACATTCCTTGAGGTCATCATTGAGTTCAGCGCAAAGCTGATTCGACAGGATAAGGCTGCAGTGTGAGTTTATGTTTGCCATTTGGTCTCTGTTGTTCCTTTTATGCGAACCTTGAGTAAGTTTTTATGGCGCTTCAAATATTCTAAATCAAATTTAAACGGAGTGGGAGTGTATGTGTAGGTAGAAGCTAGGCGTTGGTCGCACTTTGTTGTTTTTGTGTAAATTGGCATAGAAAAATCCGTTTGCCAAATCAAGCCACTCGTTCCCATTATTATATAAATACGGTTATGCAGTTGCTGTGAACTCCGTATGAATTTTGGTTGCATGCTTAGAGAACCTTGGTCAATTTACTTGCGATTTTTTCAGTATGCGTTACTTGGAAAAACACGGTCCCCCAGCACTACCCTCTTCGAAGGATCCGACATGGGAACCTTACTTGTTGTACAGGAACTCTTTAACAGTTAGTTTTCACAGACATATGTTTCATGAGTAGCTTTGATTTGTTTTTCTTCAGGAGAAACATCCTGACGATGTTTCCTCAGTCCGCAGCTTTTCCACCGCATACACTGTACGAGGAAGAGGACGTGGCCGTGGTCGAGGACGACTCACTCCCACACCATCAGAAGCTTAGATACGGCCTCTACTAGTGAACTCCCTGTGAATATCAGTTAAAGTACTCGAAAATTTGCATTTTTTGTCTCAACTTGGTGTAGATTACCTGTTTTTTTTTGTTGTAATTTTTG